GGGGGGGGGGGGGGGGGGGGCGGGTTGTTGCAATGAAAGCAGCCGCGCACCGCCCTTGTACGCTATACGAGAAAGGAGCACAAAAATGTCCAACCCATCGCCATTGAAGACCGGAGCCCCCAAAACCAGACAAAATTCGACGTACGGTAGTATCCCCTCCCCTCCCCTCCCCTCCACTGCATGCTTGGCACTCAATCCAGTTTGGAGCTGTGAGGTTGTGGATCTTCTCTAGTGTACCCCGTGTGATGCGCTACTGCTGTACGATATGCTGCTAGACTCACCCGAACGTAGTCGCCGTTTTGGTCCAGCGCCAGCCGGTTGTTCTCCACCAGGCCCAAGAAACTCGCCACTTTGTTGGGCAGCGGCCGCAGGAACACCTGTCAAAACCAAGAACACAACCAAGCACAGGAGGTAAGCAAGCAGCAACTGTTCTTAAACCGATTCTAGTCAATGGGTGCGCTGCCGTGCAGGCATGGAAACATACAGAAGACATGGGGGAAAACGAGAAGTTGCCACACTCGTCAACACGTACAGCAGTGGTTTTCAGGGGGTGGGGTGTGATCTTCCAGTTTCGTCGCCAGCTACGGTCTGTCTACTGCCTACCAACTTCATGCGTGTGCCCCGCGAGTTGGGAATCTCAACCTCCAAAAACAGCAGAACAACCGGCCGGCTCTTTCCGGAGAGAGGGGCAACCGCAGATCGTACCATGACGAGTATCTGCCACCGGGTGCCCGTGAGAAAAAAGAACGAAGCCAATTGCTTGGCGCGAGATTTCCACTCCCTCACGACTGACTCACTAGCGCCTCGAGGAACGAGTGCAGCGCCTTCCGCCTCTCCTGCTTGAGGGAGAAAGACCTCCCGAGGGCAATCCTGCTCGGAAACTTGCACACGAACAGGACCGTCTCGATGCTCTCGATCAGCTCCGCTGAGCCCGGCGGCCTAGAACCCGCGCTGCTACCGCCACCGCTGCTGCCGCCCCCGTCTCCTCCGGCTGCTGCAGCCGAAACGCCCCCTCGAACCCCTGAGGGTGCCGTCCCCTGCCCCGTAGGTTTGTTCGCGGGGTGGGACTTTCCTCCGCGTGATGATGGCGCTGGCTTCTTCTGCCGGTAGCGTTGGCATACGGTCTTGAGGTGCTGCCGGAGCGCTACGAATTCTCGGTAACGCCTGTGCACTACCCACACCTGGGGGGGGGGCGCCGTGGCGGACATGGGGGGGGGGGGGGGGGGGAGACGGGGGAGACGGCGAGGGAAGAAACCAAACGAGAAGAGACGAACCGAGTGGCGCGATACGTGCCGGATTGAATTTCTTTTCGCCAATTCCCCCCCCCCAACGCTGCACCATTAGGGTGTGTCTTATCAGGCCAAAAAAATACGTANACTTGGTACAGCTGCAACTTGGGGTACCTGAAAAAATGGGCCGGTTGAGGATAGTGCCGGGGGAGTGCCGGTGAAATCGAATGACACAATGGGAAGCTACGTTGTTTTATGCATATGCTCTTATGAGCGTAGGGTGCCCGCTTTCCGTGCCCGTGAACCGGGCTATGCATGGCATATGGCGGCGCTTCTGAGGGCGTCAAACGGCTGCTGAACTCCGAGTCGGGTGCGTGCATGTCTGTACTGCCAAACAATGGTGCGATGAGGTCGCACAAGCTGCTGCTGAGGAGGGAATGCCGTGCGTTTCATCATGAATCCACGGGCTGGCCAGCACACAGCGCTCTCGGAAGGAGTGATGCTGCAGACAGGTTCCGTCGCGTGTACACGAGTGCACGCGCCAATACTGGAATGGAAAAATGTGTCAACCATGACCTGGGCGTGAGGTGTGGTACTACCGCAAAACGCGCGCGGCGCGATCACCACCCACACCGAGACGCGAAAGTGCCTCTTCAGCGTCAATCTTGAGGGCGGGTGCCGCCGGTGTTGGACCGGGGCTGGGAGAGGTTCCAGGTCTACAGATGTCCCCTGAATCCTACATGTAGTGCCCATGTGTATCAGGAAAAACACGTAGAAACAAAGAAAGACTAGTCTACCCGTTCGAGGGAACCACAGTCGAAGGGGATGTGTCGGAGTCTTTGCAGTGAGTGGAGGGAAACCTGGGCTTATTTCGAGATGTCTGTTTCAAGCCTACACTGATGATTTATGCCAGTGACACCAGCTGGTGCTAAGCACAAAATCATCTGTTTAGGTAACCTACATTTTACAGTACGTTCCCTGTAGTTCTTTATTGGATCAACGGCAAACATATCGGGGAAAAGCTTGTGTGTATACACCGGGCAGGCGCGCGGACCATTCTACTGGTACAACTGCTGCAAACAGTAGTGGCACGTCGAGTCAAGAACCGCACATTCCTGTCCAACTCCACCGCTGTTGTATAGGCGAATATTGGTGCTACACCCAATAGAACGAAGTGATTTTCGACCTCATGCTGTATAAAAGTGCTATGCTACCAACGTTGCGCTCTAGACTACAAGCAAGCTGCACTGCTGTTGTGCGCCCCAGACGCTACTCCTGAACCACGATGTACATCACGCAACTAAAAACTGCACTTGACGATCATTCTTCACCTGTCTCGTGTGTGGCAGTTCAACTCTGCACTCATACAGGGTGTGCCCCGCGGCGGGGTGCTTCAGGAAGCTCGAAACCTTCACCGTCACCAATGGCATCCCTCCCTCGGTTGTTGTGGAAGGCATCCTCTGTGTAGGTCCGGCGCGGTGGGAGAGGTGATGTGAACAAGGGAGAGAAAGCGACGAAGGAGAACAGCGGAGAAAAATGTCGTACGTTCTCCCTAAGCAAAGCAAAGCGGCTCTCCTGGTTTTGGAAAATAACGGCGGTTGGGCTGCGGTGATACCTGCGTCGCGCGGCCTTGCTGCCTTTTCTCTGGCGCGAGAACCCTTCGCTGTGGTGTGTGGTGTGTGTCTTACAGTGTTGGCAGATAGCGTGCACAAGGATGGCGGCTACAAACGTTGTTGTATATGTGCAACCCGCCCCGAAATCGGTGCACGAGACTGTCAAGTGACCTACCCCCAGCATATCAAGTTGGCGTTCTTATGTGTCAACATGTCAAGTCATGTTGTTGTTGATCAACACTTTAGCAGCAGCATCGGTATAGCTAGACAGGAGGGAGACCAATGAGGCTCGTTGCGCTACTCGTCGCTTTACACATCAGCGGCTCAGGCGTTTCGTCGTTCGGGCTGACCCCCGCGATGAGGACGACATCGCCGCGACAATCGTTATCGCGGTACCTCTTCAACCCGTCTTCTTCGGCGCCCAAGAGAACCGCCGATGCTGTTGCTGTTGCGCGTGGCCGCCGCCGCAGCAGGTTGGTGGGGGGAGAACGCCCGCAACGGCGGTGTGGAGCCCAAGCTGGTAGCTCGAGTGGCGAGGGAATCGGAGTGAGTCTTGTTGCTGAGCAGGGGAGACGACGTCGCTTCAGGCAGCGGGAGAAGGTCCTGGTTGGCTGCATTGAACGTTTGAGACAACAGGGTTCGGTGTGTGCCTCTTGCTTCCCCCTTCCCCAAGAAGAGCGAAAGCTCGCAGAGGCATGCCGTGGGCCGCTGCCAGTGATTCTCAGTAGGGGGTGCTAACTAGCGAAGTCGCTGTGAGGTTTCGCGAGTGTGTACTGGTGCGGTCACGGCCCTGTCCCTCGGTTAAATTCTGTGCGCCAATTTTCACGCGGTTGTTGCAGAGTGCATGAAAGACATCTGTAGTCTACACAGTAGCAAGTCGGACACGGACGTAGCCAGCATAACACCCAGAGTGGACGGGCTACGTGTTGCACCTCGGGTGTAAGGACGGAGGTTTGAGCACACCAAAAGAGGAGATAGATGCCCAGCAGCAGTTGTACTGATGAACCCAGCGGGAACAAATTATGGCAAAACACATTATTTGTCTACGCCAGGCGGGAACATGCAGCAACCACAGTACGGCGATTGATTCCTGCGACGCCATGGGGACATCACCATGAGCTACTCAGAACGCTTTATTTTCGGAGGACACTCCTTCCGTTGTGCTGCGAACATCCCGCCGCGCACAGGCACGACTTCGGCCACCTCAGGTTTCACGAGATTCCATACCCACCCCGGACCGATTTTCAGAGCCCCATTATTCCATTGGATGCCACAATTAAACAGCTGCCTCAGGCGTAACAAGATATCATACCCCCTGGACCGATTTTCAGAGACCCATTGTTCCACGGCAAAGAGGATGCAATACACAAATGATAACGATTTCGGGATGCACTCGACGGGATGGTGGTTCAAAAGCCACTGCCACATGCAGTTTTTTGCCTCTGCGTAATCGAGCCTCGAAATCGGTCGAGGGGGGCGGAGGGGGGGCGTACCCTTATGTTTTGCATGCCTTAGCGGTTAGACCATTGACCACGCGTCCTCGAGAGGACGGAGCATTGTTCCCACAGGACCGATCACCGATGGCCAATCGTTCCTTTCTACTTTGCCAAAGGTGGTTCAAAAATGTCTTCCCTAGTCTGTCTATCCTAACGATATCCCTTCCCGCCTTTTCAACCCACCTCCTATGCCCCACTACAGCTACCGTCCTTTCCTCTCTATTCCATGCCTCAAACATCTCCCTGTACGTTCCATCTATTTTTCCCAGCTCAGTCACGTACACTTCCCTCTCCTTCTTGTACAACGGACATTCCGCGACTACATGAACACGGTCTTCGCATTCGAAG